AAAATTGGGAAACCCCTTTACCAGATTTTTTCCATAGGGTTTTTCAAAATTTTTTATTAAAACCCCGTTTTATGGGGTAGTGGGGGGGGTTTGGGAAAAATTTTTTTTTTGATTTTAATGAGAGGTGGGTGGGGGAACATTTTTCATCCCCGGCCCCCGATGATTTACGAGGTGGGGGGAGTTCTCCTGAAAAGTATGGGAACCTCTTACAACGCTATGAAAAACACCCAAACCCTTTTAAACCCCAAAATAAAAAATTGAAGAGCAGAACAACCCTTCTAAAGACTGCTGGAAAAAAATAATGAAGGTCATCGTGAACGGGTTTGTGAAAAAGTGGGTATATTTTAAAAATGTAGAGGTAAAAAAAATTTTTAACCCAAATTATTTTTCATTATCAGTGACCTAAAATTATTTGGGAAAATTTGGATACTCTGGTTGGGAAAGTTTTTTGGTTTTTTGCCCAGTGATTTTTTACTCATGTTTACTGCGTAAACTGTGGTATTTAGTTTTTTTGAAAAACAAAAGGGGTAAAGGGGTTACTCACCCCTTGAAAATCTTAAGTTGGTCTTCCCAAGGCTGGCCCCTTTGGGGGAAAATTAATAAATAGAAAAAAAAACAAAAACCAAAAAAATAAAAACCCTTTTTTAATTGTTAAAATTGAAAATTTTAAAGCATTTTAAATATGGAAGTTTACCCACTTGAAAGAAAAATAAAAATAAAAAAATTGATATCTAAATTTAAAAAACGCAAATTTATTACATTTAAGACCTTGGGTGTCTGGTTGATGTTGCGACAACCGGGTTTTGTAGAAATTGTACCCGTTCCCTGGGGTTTAAAAGGGAGGGCCCACAGCTTTAGTGAAAACCCCCCAAGGGATTTAGTTGCCACAAAAGTCTTTACCCCTTGAAAAAAACCCCAAAAAAGATGATAGGAACGCGGGTCTTTCACCACGCAAAGATGGGGGTTAGTTCCGGGGGTTTTGGCTAAACTTATCAGGAACGTAGATAAAAAGTAAAGTCCCAGAACCTCGTAAGTTCGTTTTCCCTTCAACACTTTCTTTGGTTGCCAAAAGACCCAAAGAAAGACATTCCAATCTAGAAAGAGAAAAAAGGTTACCCACTGTTAAAAAAATCACTTTTTCCGTGTTTAATTTTAAAGGGTTTATTTAAAAAAGAATGGTGAGGTTTTTAATAGAAAAACCCCTGAAAATAAAGGGGCAAAAAGAACTAAGTCTTAAAAACGGGGTTTAAAAAGTGAAGCAAAAAAACCAATATACCCCATAAATGGAAAGCAGGGGCCCTTTTTACTTACAGTTTGCTGGGACCCTGTGAGTCAAGGGATTTTCCTTTTTGGTCGGGGAAGCCCCACACTCCCCCTTTCCGGGGGGGGAAAAAGGGGGGGGAGGGGAAGGGGAGTAAAACATGACCCCCCCTTAACAACCCGGGAATGGCAACCAAACTATGTCACCTATACTCTCTCGCTCTCCTATATGTTGAATTTTTCCCCTCACATACATTTTGGGTATTAAAACGAAAATTTTTATTCATTTTGTTAATACAGTCACAATCTTCTGGGGCCTTATCATTTCCTTTAAATGCTTCTTTTCCCTTGAAAAGTTTCCCTTTAACGTTTTTTTTACCCCCCTCGCAGTTTAAAAACGGGGGGCTCCCAAGATTTTAGCAGTACAAGACAAAATAATGTAGTATCGCATATACATTTATTAAGGCGTGTTTGAGGGGTGGGTGGTGTGGGTTTAGTTTTTACAGCACACTCACAGCAATTTAAACCCCGTACAGCATCACTCACAGCATCACCTTACAGCCCCCTTTTGCTCAAAAACTCCCGTTGCTGTCTCCAACAATTTGAAAATTCCCTAAATAAATTTAAACCAAAAACATATCACCACTAAAAAAGTTTATATACACGAGTTAATAAAAGATATATAAATGGGGTGATAATTAAAGTTACTTTATGGAAATTTAACAAAACAAGTACTTAGCCAACTTTTAGCTTCTCAATTATAGTCAGGATGGGAGAGAGCCTCAACAATTATTAATTATAACGACCACTTATACTTATTTATGCTAATGGCTGGGTACGGAAAGGCCCTTCTCATTATCTGAGCAATGGATGACTTCATGGTATTGATATAAGGGAAGTGGATTTGTGCCTCTTTTTCAATCACGGGTTATAGTTTTTCTGGTGACGTTTGAGTTTTGATGAGAAAGTTACATACAGGATGGAGTATGTCAGTGGTTTGAAAGACTTCATGTAAAAGAACAGCACCCACTGGCATATCTGCCTCGCATCAATATATAAGAAAGGGGTTTGCTAAATTCGGGGTTTACATAACGATAGGAGCAGAAGGACAAGCACTTCAACCTAGCAAATCAATTAGAGCAATCTTGAGTCAGTGGAACTTTTACTTTGTGCTGTGATGCGCGGTAAAGAAGCAGCAACTTGAGGAAAAATTGACAGATAACCTGCTGTTAATATCCAGCCATGCCATAAACCTCTGGATCCCCTTTCTATCTTGAGTACAGGTAATGCACGGAAAATAGCACGAACATTTTCCTCAGTGGGAGAGCCCTCTCATTGACCTATACAAAACCCGAGATAGGTAATCTTAGCTTGTCCAAAACTACATTTATAGAGTTATAGAGGGCCAATCTTTCAAACAATGCTCTAAGTCAAGTGTTGCTCCCACTCGTCACTATACACGACTAAGTCGTCAAGGCTGGCCTCCACTCCATCTAAGTTATCTGGAGTTTATCTTATCTGGAGAGAGTTCCGGGGGTCAACGCCCCCGCGGCCCGGTCTGTGACCAGGCCTCCTTAGGTCAGTGTCCCAGGATGCGACCCACACCAGTCGACTAACACCCAGGTACCCATTTTACTGATGGGGAACATAGACAACAGGTGGAAAGAAACACGTCCAATGTTTCTACTCTGGCTGGGAATCGAACCCAGGCCCTCGCCGTGTGAAGCGAGAGCGTTAACCACCAGTTATGTGTCAGTTCATTCATCACACGTTGGAAAGTCGAAGCAGCGTTGCATAAACAGAATGGAGTGACAAGATAGTTAAAGGGCCCATCCTGAACGGTGAAGGCAGGATATTCCTGAGCATGCCCCGCAAGAGGGACTTGATAATATCCCTGCAAGAGATCTAAACAGCTGACATACTGGGTTTCTAAGACACGATCAAATAAGGTCGTCAATGCGTGGTCAGGGTATATCCATCAGGTTAGGACTGAGTTAATCTTACGATATCTGTGGCACGGTCCTAAAAGTACTGTTGGTTTAGGTACTAAAATACAAGATGACACGGAATTTTACTTCTCACCCCCAATTACTCCATGAGATAATTAAAAAGTCAGCTTCTTTCTGAATTGCTTTATACTTCGATGGGCTTTCTTCTACAGGGCGATGCTTAATTGGTGCAAGCGCACCTTCTTCTCGTGAACACCCAGAGTACAGCGCTTAGGAACAGCGCTACACAAAGTATTACCAAAATCAAGTGTTTTATTTTTTTTTTTTTTATATTTTTTTTAAAAAAAACTTTACAGCTTAATATATAAAATAAAGATTTAAAAATGGGTACAGTGGAATCCTCAATCTACACAACATACACTAACAAGTTTTAACAACACATGGTAATGGACATAAAAAGAGGTAACTCTATAACATTCCCAAATTTTCCCATATATACATTCTACTATAATATAAACTATAAAAACTATAACTATATAAACTATTATAAAATATAATTATATAAACCTTTCAGATTTGTATAGTAAACATACTGTGACTGACATTAATGACAAAGGTTCCACAACCTTCACAGTACTAATCAGAGTAATGACCTAATCAAATCTCAGATTAAAAACAAGTACATGCTCTTCCCAAATTAACCTATACAATAAGAATTGTTTTTTTATTTTATTGAAAACTCAGGTACAAAAAAAAAATAAAAAAAAAAAAAAATTATTGGGTGCATATAAAATAAATTTATTGGTTCAACGAGTACTAAGGCACTAACAGATTCTTATATAAATAAATAATAAAGTCAAAAACACAGGAAAATAAACACTATACAATAAAAACAATGTGACAAAGTACAAGCACACGAATTACACATACACAGCAATCACGTATTATACAACGGGTTACTTCTATCTGGCTATTACTAGGCGTGGCTTCCGCCTGCAACACCACAACGTATCCAAGACTTAATCTAAGAACTCCAGGTGCCTTTAAAGTGCACAACTATACGTTATTTGGGCGACTATCACAGGGTATTCATTGGACTAAGATAGGGCATTACAGTTCAGGTGGATCCGGATGGACGCTACCATTTAGTACAATGAAAAATATCTAATATATCAAAAACGAAAATACACTGTGATTGTGATATTTGGAATCTCATAAAACATAAAATGCAGCCAAGCTATAACGTGAACTTATACACTGACGAGATGCAACACATTGAAAAATACTGCCTCCACATTTTTATTTTTTTTAAAGTTCAAGCTCCATCACAGCTTACAGGAAAAACGAAAACTTGCATAGATACATATATTCATTGAAAAGCACACGGCCGGCATAAGCATAAACGAATAAGAAACGTTTCAAACTGTGCTAGGAAGCACACCATATTACAAAAGTACACCAATTTGAAAACCTTGTAATGGAGGCATAAAGACGAGAATCATTCCTAAAAGTTGTATATACAAAGCTCGTAAGATATTTGTCATCACCAGTTACATAGGAGACGCACATAACCGGAGAACACAAAACATTCACGCATTTGACAAACACAATTGACACAGTGACCAGCCGTTAGCATTACCATGAAACACTCACAACTATCTCAAATCTCGTAACTCCAAGGCTGTATATTCAGGCGGGAAGGTCTCTCTCCCAATCTCCCACATTATACCAACCTATTTCGACATTTTGTCCTATAAATGGTCCCTGCTAAACACCCTTATTTCTACTGTTGTACTTGCTTCGGCGTACATATACTAAAATCTGGAAAACGATAGAGTAGATTAGCATGGACCTGCGCAAGGATGACACGCAAAATCGTGGGAAGCGTGTCCACAATTATGATTGTTAGCATCGTTATTGTGCCGTGCGGACAGGCTGCGCAGTGGCTCTGATACAACTTGTTTACTGCGCGTTTTCCTGTTTTGTGATACAAACATTGCGGATCGCATTTTGGGGGGGGGGGGTGGGGGGGGGGGAAAACGCGGGTGAGCACTGTTTGCGTTGGAATTGGTGCGTGGCAGCTTAAAGGAAAACCATGCAACGTGTTACTGGCATGCCATCATCAGTGAGGTATATGGAAATACCGACCGAAGAATTATATGGAGTAGCAGTCAATGGAGTGTCGAGAATTGTCATCAAGTTTAAAGACGCAGGATTCTACACAAGCATGTCAAAAATATCAAGAGAAGAGGATGGCAGGGAACACTATGGTGTGTGAAGTCTGCTTACATGATGTGTTCCAGCTATGTGACGTGGTGTGATGAAAGTTGAAACGTGCCTTTTGAGGCCGACGGGAAGCATGATGTGGACGGCGGTAGGTGTTTAGCAGCTATGGAAAAAATCATCGCAGTGATGGGGGTGTGGCAAAATGGACTTATGAGGGGCTACCTGAAGGTTTTATTTTTACGCTGAAAATGACGTTGAGGCAGTTCAATTCCATCATACGTATTTATGGAGTCTTCGAACGCAGGTCTACGGTACTACTCATGGCAGCGAAAAGACTTGCAGATTATGTGGTTCTTTAGAACATATGGCGGCCATTGTATAAAAAAAGCTGGACGGAGGGACAGTGAACCAGTGATCTTACATCTGAGGAATGCTCTGGAATTGTCGAGGAAGGGAGTAAGGCCAAAACAAGATTCCTTGCCGATGGAAGGAGTGACGATAGTGGACAGGGCTGAGGCGACTATGGAAGAATGTTGTAACACTATCAGTTGATAGGGACAGACGACATCGACGTCTGATGAGGAGGTACGGCCAACAGGAAGGGCTTGCTGGAGGAAGTACTTAGTTCTTTTTGCAATAACGTTGAAGAGGGACAGGTGGATGAAGGGTGTAACCTGGTGCAGGCAACTGTGCAGCAAAGATCGGAGGTTAGGGGAATACTTGTGTGCACTTATGTTAATGTGCACAACGTTGTGGCAGAGGTCCATAGGCAGAAAAGACAGGTGACGAGGTGTGTGTGGGGAGGGGGTTCTCGTAAGAGAAACTGGCAGGAACGGTCTGAGAATGAGACGATTGTTCTTACTCCAGGACAAAGAACAGGAGGAAAAATCTTGGAGAAGGATGTATGTATAAGGAAGAGGAAGAGGGTAATGTAGGGTTTAATGGTTCTAAGGGATAATGAAGGGATAGGGGGGTGAATAAGCAAGCTGTCAGAAAGATGCCATACAAGCAAGGGAACGGTGTATAGGTGGGTGTGTGCCAAGAAGGAAAGGGGTAAAACCACACTTTTAAAATATTCACGATAGTAACTGTAAATGTAAATGGATGAAGAATGAAGTGAAACGAGTTATGGATGGAATGGGTTTTTTGAGGAGATATATGTGGAATGTATGCTTTATCAAGAACATAATTATAAGATAGGCTATTGACCTCCATCGCTTTATTGCCGTGAGTTGTGCCTGCGACACGCTCCTGGTGGAGAGGCCTTCCTGCGCAGATTGATTTTCACAAGATGGCCCCGCAGACTGTAAGAAGGCGCGTCAAAAAAACACTGTGTGCTTTGATTTAGTGCGGGGTGTATTACGCCTCAGTCGCAAGGTGCTTCTACCTTTGATTATTCGCGGACAATACGGCATGCCTGATCAAGATTTGTATGGGTTATCGCCTTCAACGGGCTTACCGCATATCGTTAAGCTACGATCGAGGCAGTGTATGAGCGCCTGGGGAGCAGTATCAAGATGGCTGTGTGGACGTAACTCGGCAATACGAGTTCGTTTAATTGACGTGTCGCGACCTACATTGGGTGAGGTTACGCAACGTGCCTTTCGAAGTGAAGAGGCAGAATATACGGAACGTTTTTTGAACGTTATGAGAGTACTGTGGCATCTGGCAATGGCAGGTACTGAGAGTGGATGGGGCGGTACGCCGGCTGGGCCGGAGGGTAGTTCAACCATAAAGATGACGCTGAGGCATCCCATCCCGTCGTTTGTCATCCTGGTACGACTTTAGGACGCAAGTGATGGTGTATTACGGCAGGGGAGCGCAAGACACTGCAGGCTATGTGGTGCTTATGAACCATATGGCAGCAAAGTTGTGAGAGGCAGCAGCAACGACAGGTTGGCAGACAGGAAGGACGGAGCGAGGGGCCGACCCGAAGGCTGGCCATGCCAGCGGGACACCTTGTAATGGGCCCCTTAGTTGTATTGAGAGTTTGAGGAGGTGGAGAGAGAGTTCCCGACGGTGGGTCGAGCCCATCGATGCCTGTAGAAATCTTCTGTCTCTCGGCTTTGGTGAGAATGGGAGACCAAGTTGAGTGGAGGAGATCGAGCAGAGGATGTGGGGCTCTGGAGCAGTTGACGGAAAAGTTTTTGGAGACGAAGAGAGCTGGAGTATGATGTACAAGCGGTGGTGGACCTGAAGAGAGTGAGGACGAGAGGAGAGACAGCAGCTTGACATGCAGGTGCCTCTTTACGGGGAATTGGTTGACCGTGGTCGAGGTGGGGCGGAGGTGCATTGTGAGGAATCCCGACCAGACCATGGATGCAGAGAGTGTTCGCGGAAGAGGGCGCACGCACTTGATTCGATGATGTCTTGACCCGGCGCAAAGACCGGGGAAGAAACCGTGGGCTGATGTGGTGAGTGGAGCGCACAGGTGTGTCCGGTCAGGTGTCGACCGGGGAGGGAATAGAGCTCATGTGCAGTGAGCTGGTGGGAAAAATAGGAAGGCTGGTGACGTGTTATGAAAGGAGTTTACAGGGCAGCGTGTAAACCCTTCAAGAAGGTTTCAGGTGTATGACTGTCGAATGTAAAATGGGTTGGTGTATGAAGGTGAAGCGTTTGTGGCTCCAGGGGATTCTGAGGGTCATGCCATAGATATTGTATTCTGGCAGGAGCATAACTTTAAGGCGGGTCGGGATTTGAATGTGGACGGATATCGTGTTTGTTTGTGGAATATTCGGACGTTTGAAAGGTGGGGTAGATTTCTGATTCGGGAGGACAAGCCGTTTGTTGTTATTAGATGTGAGGGAAGGGGAGGAGTGTAGGGTTACTCCGGGTAGATGGGTTGGTGGAGAGGTGAAGCGACTGGCGCCCGGGGGGGGGGGGGGACAGTGGTTTGTGTTGTTAATGCGCGGCAGAGAAGCGTGATGTACGGGTGGTGAAGAATGAATAATGTGCGTGATGGTTTTGGTTTATTATTTGAGATCTCTTCCCTCGGTTAAACAATCATGGGCGGTGATTGGAATCTGTATTAGTACGTAGAAAGGATGTTGAAGCCACGGGGGGCAGGGTGTTTTTTGGTTGCCTAAGGGATCTTTTTGCTGTGGCGTGGGTTAAGGTTGTTATTGGAGGGTGGGACCTTATGGTTGAGTTACGTTTCATAGAAGGGGATACGCGGCCAGGCTCGCTTGGTTATATGTGGACGCGAAGTGTGCGACGTGCTTGTGTGTGCGTACGGTGGATAAGTGGAAGCTGTTTACACGGATTAGAGTGTTTTATACGGGATCTTGACTTGGGCAGCTTACCTAAGAGGTATCCAGGGTATTGGAAGTTAAATGGAGACTTCTTGGAGTGGAGGCACGGCGGGGTTTGATTTTAGGACAATGTGGGAGAAATGTGGGTTGGGGAGAGGGTAGGGGATGTGGGTGACGTGCTGGGGGTGGTGGGATGGGGTAGACTAAGGAGGAGGATCCGCAGTTTTATGTGCGATGGGGAAAGTACCAGGTTGGATGACGTTACGGGTTGCAGCAGTATTTCGAGGGTAGGTTTGCAAAGTTGTTATGAGAGGGGCGTGCAGGACAGGGCAGTATCCCATGGAGGAAATCGAGTTGTTATAAGGAAGCTTCGTGATTTGCCAGAATGATAGATTGATGCTGGTGAGAGTGCAGGGTGGTATTGAAGAGGCGGTGTGGGTGACCGACATCGGCCTGTGTGTTTAAGGGGCAGAGGCAGCGGGACGTATGCTATGGAAATTGATAGGCTGGTGGTAAATGAGGGACTTAGGTGGATATAGGGCGGGACATGACGTTAAGACAACGGGGCAATGAGTGATTACGTGCTAGGTGGTTTGGAAATAAAATTTTACTGAGTGTAGGTGGTGGATGGGGAGGCTTTCGGGAGGTTGGGGAGAATGTATCTGGTGTGCTAAAGTAGCAGTGATCGCATGGCGTTGGGGGGGGGATTGAAGATGGGGATGTGTGTGAGGGCTTTGGGAGGGGATGGCACGTGGGAAGGACTCCAGGTCTGGATGGCATGCCCTGCGAGTTTTATGTGAGCCATTGGATGTGTTGAAAGTCCTTCTTAGGAGAACTAATGGAATACGGTGAAAAGGGAAGTGGGAGGATGGGCAGGATGCAAGGGAATGCGGTTGTGGGTTTTAGTGCACAAGGTAAGAAACAGGGACACGGTGCGGGACTTAGGATTACTATCATTGCTGTGTGCTTGATTATTAAGATTTTTGCAAAAGAAATTTTAGGAAATAGGATGAAGTGTGTGTGGTGGATAGCAGTGGTGCGAGAGGACAATATGGTGTGTCTGGGAGGACGATGTATGAAGGGCTTAGTATTATAAAGAATTTTGTGGAAGGGTCGGGAGGGGAGCAGGGGGGGGGATTGTCTTTAGCGTTAGTTTGCAGGCGGCGTATGATAGTGTAGAACGTTGAGGTGTTGTGGTATATATTAAGGAGGCAGGGTTTTGGGGAGGAGGTGTGGTACGTTGGGCAGAGACATGTATACAGGTGTGGGTGTGTGTACACGTAAATGGGAAATTGGGGAAGTGGTATCCATGGGTGGGGCCCCCCCCCCCCCCACCCCCCCCCCCCCCCCCCCCCCCCCTGGTATTAGGCAGGGTTGTCCCCTGTCTCAATTGGTGGTTTGCTGTGTAACAGACCCTTTCTAT